ACTGTAGGTCCCTCCGCTTTGTCGGAGGAGAAGCTCGGCCAAACACTATAATATGTGTAAGCACCAATCTATTATTATTACTATTATTATTACTATAGCTGATTACTTAACAAACACAATATAACTCCAAATGTCACACTTTGTGCGAAAATTATGAAAAATCAATTTCCAACTTCTTGATCAGCATCTTTAGACAAAATTTTGGTATTCAGTTTTGTGGCCCATCAAATTTACCGTTTATTTTTGGCAATTTTATTTTATTGACGGTGCTCCACATTTTGTTTGTATAAAAAAAATTGTCAAATAGCATCTACATACATCGAAAATCGAACGAACGGTGCAGATTTGATGACATAGATGAAAAACGCCTTTGGGTATTATATGTATATTGGTTTCTTTTTGGGGCTTTTCTTATTTTTTTTCGCTCTGTAGCTTTTTAATGAACAAATAAAAAGGGGTGCCCGAGGATCATAGTTCAATAGTATAGCGTACAATAAAATACACGAATTAGGCTAAATTTTCCAATTGCAGACTATGTGCTGATAAAAAAATATACATTTTTACTAACCTCCAACAACATTTTTACAAGCCTCCTTTTATGCTCCAGAACACTATAACAGTTTTAGGTATGCACCAGCTACAGTATACTATAAAAGCCGCAAGTGTCAGAATTTAAAAAAAGGAGTCACGCCAATTTGACTCGTCATAATTTCTTGTCTATTGCAAGCGAGTCGTGAGGGGTCTCTCCGCAAGCCGCACATTCATTCGGCACATCCGCATTTAGCCTACTCAGGTAGGAGTTTAGCCTGCTGCAGTAGCCAGAGCGCAGTTGGGCTATTGTTGTCCTAGTCTCCCGAGGCAGACGGAGCTCCGTCGCGTCAATGTCCGGTGTTTGTGTGCCTAGAACGGCATTTACAGGTCTAGAGTGTACATATCTCGAGACTGAGTGCCTGTGAATGCCGTTCAGGGCCTGTTGGTAAGCTGACGGGTCCAGAGGCTGCTTAATGAACCTCTGGACTTCGTCCGTCAGTTCATATAGATGCCTCCTGACGTGCCTTGGCGAGGGCTCCTCTGCAAGCAGCTGTCTGTTTGGGTGGCCACATCTGTGGCTCCCAACCAGAAACTGCTTGCAGAGCATATGGTTGTGCTCCCTAATTGGGAGCATTTTCGCCTCATCATGGAGGTGGTGTTCTGGTGACATCAGGAGGCATCCGGTCGCTGTCCTGAGTGCTGTGTTTTGTGCTGTCTGTAGCTTCATCCACTGCGTCCTACTAGTCCCCGGCGACCACACTGGTGCTGCGTAGTTTAAAACCGGCCGGCCTATTGTCTTGTATGTTGCCAGCAACGTTTCTTTGTCTTTGCCCCAGGTACTGCCGGCTAGGGACTTGAGGACTTTGTTGCGGCTCTGTACTTTGTTGACAATAGTGGTTGCGTGCGCAGAGAAGGAGAGCAGGCTGTCGAATGTTACTCCGAGTATTTTGGGGTTATTCACCGTCGGAATTGGTGCATCATCGACGTGAATTCCTAGCGGTGGCCTGACCTCCTTCGTCCAAGTGGTGAACAAGGTCGCAGAGGATTTCGTTGGGGAGAGGGTTAGACACTTTGCAGTGAAGAAGCGAGAAAGATCGGTGATATCCGTTTACTTTCGAACACAGGTCATCAATTCCATTCCCAGTCGCCATGATCGAGCAATCGTCGGCGTAAGAGACAATCGAGACTCCCTCTGGTGGTTGAGGGAGCTTTGAAATGTAAAAGTTAAACAGTAGCGGGGAAAGGACACCACCCTGTGGAACCCCGTTTTATTTTTACCTCCCTTTTATTAGCTCGGGATGTAACTATGTAATATGGATACGCCTAAAAGATGCAGCGATTTCTATCTCATACCTGATGACAGTACGAATGCAAATTATAATAGCGAGGTTTAGTTTTTTAAACTATAATTTTATTTTGATTTGAGCATTGGTATGTTCCATTTATTCTAAGTTTGCTCGATTTGTCTCTAAACATTACCGACGAGTGTCGACCACTCAGATAATTTGCCGACCACCGTTTGAGCCTCTGTGGGAGAGAGGAGGCCTCTATATCTTCTAGCAGCGTGGAATGGCAGACGGTGTCAAACGCCTTTGACAAGTCCAACGCTACTAGAATCGTTCTCTCACAGGGACGGTTACGGTTAAGGCCACGAGTTATCTGAGTGTTTATGGCGTTAAGTGCTGTTGTTGTACTGTGCACTTTACGGAAACCATGCTGATGCTTCGCTGGGGTCAGGTGGTTTGTGAAGTACGGGAGTAGCAAGGCCTCGAGTGTCTTCGCTACCGGGGAAAGGAGTGTAATCGGACGATACGAATCTCCTTTGTTGGCAGGTTTCCCCGGTTTGAGCAGTGGGACCACTCTCCCCACCTTCCAGATGTCTGGGATGATGAGAGTGGCCTTAGACAAATTGAGGACCTCCGTTAGGTACGCTACTCCCGCAGGACCCAAATTTTCCAGCATCAGGATGCATATTCCGTCGGGACCCATGGCCTTGGAGGCTTACGCCTTTCCGATGGCCACCTGAACTTCACCGCAGGTGAAAGCAAGGGGGCACAATTTGTTGGCAGTTTGTGCAGCCTTCTGGTCACTCGACGCTTGGTTTTGTCCACCGGAGGATGCAGTATGAACTGCCGGCTAAAGTAGCACGCGCATCGCTCCGGGTCAGACGAGGCATGGTCGCCGAAAGAAATTTCGACTCTGTCGTCGTGCTTCGTGACCTCATGGTTGACCAAAGCTTACTCACACCAGAGGTGAAGTTAAAGGTCTTCAGTTGTTCTTCCCACTTCTTCCGCTTATGTACGTTCACTAGTTGCCGAATATCCGCGTTGAGATCCCTGATACGGGGATCTCCGGGATCGGCCTGACGAAGGCTGTCACGCTCATCGGCTAGAACAGCCGCTTCGGCAGGGAAATTTGGATGTGGGTCCGTGATGCATCCTGCCGGTACGAAGCTGCGGAACTTACGTTCACGAAGGTGGACGTCGGTTGGTGTGGGGAGAGCAGCGAAGGTGTTTTCAGTAAATTCCGCGTAACCTTTCCAATCAGCTTTAGAAAAGTTGATATAGGTCCGGTGTTTGGCGGAGGCAAAGTCGGTTGGTTTATCAATCGAGATGACTATGGGTAGATGGTCTGATGCCAAGGTCACCATAAGTCGCCATGATATGCTGTTTATCAGACCAGCGCTGACTATTGTTATGTCTGGCGAGCTNAATCGAGATGACTATGGGTAGATGGTCTGATGCTAGAGTCAGCATAGGTCGCCACGTTATGCTGTTTATCAGACCAGCGCTGACTATTGTGATGTCTGGCGAGCTACTGCAGTTACCCATAATCCTGGTGGGTGCGTCGTCGTTCATTGTGCAGAATGTCGAATCGTCTATCTGCTCAGCCAAATCGGTTCCCCTACGATCGTTTGACAGGCTTGAGTGCCAAAGATCGTGGTGCGCATTAAAGTCACCTACTACCATTCGGTTTTCATCTCTGAGGAGCGCCGTATGTCTGGGTGATATCCTGCCGGGCAGCAGGTGACAGGGGGTATATAAACGTTGAATATTTCCATCTCAACATTGCCTGACTGGATAGCAATGCCCTGACATTCTAGGGTGGTATCCCTGCGGTCGATGTCTGCTTCGATAAGACGATACTGCACTGTGTGGTGCGTGATGAACGCTAAGCCACCACCATTATCTCGCTCGCGATCTCGGCGCAGTTCAACAATGTTGAGATGTTGTGCTCTCTTGGACCGCAGCTATCAGTATACCATGCCTTCCCATAAAGACGGTTATCTCCTCGATCTTGCTCTGTAGCCCGTTGCAGTTAAATTGAAGGAGCTTCATGTGATTCGGGAGACGTGTGGTAATGCGGGGTGTGAGATGTGTGTGGTCGTGTCGCCATCGGCTGTGTGCGCTGCTGAGGTGGTTGCCGCCCTGTGGCGTCGCGGTTGAAGCTTGCGACCGTGCTGCGCAGCACGGGCCCTCGAAGTTCCTCGTCCAGTCACGTTCCTCGTCCAGACCTGAACATGCCCTAAAGTGGCACCGGCCAAGGCAGGTGTTGCACTTGACTGATGTCACATTACGGAATATCCTGGTCTGTCATACCGTGCAGATTGTAGGAGGAACCAAGAGTTGTTGGCGGCGGCGTGTGGGTGGTGGTGCGGTTGTGTGTGTTCAGTGGTCTGTGGTCTGGTGCGATTGTGGTGTGGTCTATTGTGTTATGTTGTTGTGCTGTGGTGTTTGTGTGGGACTGCTTAGGTGGACTGGGGTAAGCAGTGGAGGCTACTCTGTTTGAGCAGCAGGGGGCCACAAACGACGTGGTCCACTGCCGATGTGTCCGTAGACCTGAGCAGACTCTGAGTTGACTCCACTCCTCGCAAGCATTGCACTTGACTGAGGTGGAGTTGTGGTGTAGTCGTCTCTGGCATACACAGCAGGTGTAGGTTTCTGGCCCTGGGTTTGACTCGATGCCAGCCCGTAGCGAATGTAGCCCTATGGACGAACAACTTCGGAGATACTTCGCCGACCTAAACGGGGTTAGATCGCCGAAACAACAGCCCTTGGTCGGGTAAAACCCGAGTCATTCCAGTACGTAGAACTGGCTGTCATGGGAATTGAGAATTGCCTATATAATGCGGTAGACTTTTATAAAAAAATATTAAACACAGTATAAACAAAAGTAATATAGCCAAAACTGGTCAAAATAAAAAGTTTCTATTATTTCTGCCACCACTGTATATGTATGTACATTCTCGGTTGTATAACGTACTGACAGCATATGCGTATGTATTCAACTGTGGATCGCTCGGAGAGCACAAAAATTTATACAGTAAAAAAAAAACAAGTTCTAAAAGAATTAACCATATTTATTATAGGTCAAAATGAGCAAACCGAAGAGAAGATTTTATGTGCATACATAGATACATATGTATCTACAAGTGTAGTATGTATGAAAGAGCAATGTAAAGGAGAACGAAAAGTAAATAAACAATTCTTATCAATGAAAGCTCCAACGTTTACAAACAACGACGATATATAGATTTACAAATAAAATCCATAAAACGAGCTTTTTAGCAGCACTATGATACTGAGCATTTATTAACTGCGGAAGGTAGGCAACAATTCAATTTTTTCTCAAGCGTCATAGTTCCAACGTTCGATTATTGCTTATCTGCAGAAGTATTTGTTCATTAAAATTCTAAAACGAATAAGCTTACAATAGAAAAACCCATACGACTTAATACTTCTTGAAATGAGAAAATAGACAACCTATTAATATTGAATCGGAGTTGCTTTATAGTGTGTATATATGTATGTACATATATACGTATTCAACGGCTTTGTCAAGCAGGTTATGTGGTTAAAGAAACAATAAAAAAGTACAACAATTAAAAACAAGAAATTTACTTCACTTTACCTGCTCATACCGATAGGTTAACTGTTCGTAAACAGCGGACATTAGCATCCAACTCATGACCAAACCCATGTCGTTTAAAAAATTTATTTTTTTTGTTTTGATTTTATATTACAAATGTTTCCCTTGTACGTATATTCTTTAAGGTCACACAATCGCACCGATTCACTCATTCGCCACACACGCGCGCTCGCCACATATATCTAATTCCAACGAATTACAGCACTTGACTAAACTCACCTCATCTGGGCGATTGCCGCTAAGAGCGCCAAGCGAGCTCTGTAAGCTGCTGGATATTTTTGAAAAGGACGGTGTTTCTGATAATTTGTTCTTTCCCAAACCGGTGGAGTTATTGCGACTAAGAGGAGTATCGTCAAATATTGACGCTTTAGATGATAGTCCGTCGGTTGCGCTTGCTCCAGCTAAGTCCCGGTTATCAGTATCGGCGCTATCCGCGTCGCCGCGCTGGCTTTCAACTGTTATAGGAACAATACTTGGCTTAGATGTATTTTCTATGCATTCATTGAGTTCAGCAGACGTGGTTGTTTGCACTTGCGCAGCTGCTTGATCGTCAAGCTCTTCTTGGGTTGTGATTGATATTGCTTTATCTGGCAATAGCGTATCAGCACATTCGACTGCAGAAACGTTGCTTGAGGCTAAATTTGTTCCACCTGTCTCTATTTTAGTAGCCGTGGAGTCAAATGTCTTGTTTTCTTCGCTGCCTTCTTTAATTACTTTTAGTTTATTGACCTGTACTGCTGCTGCATCCTCGGTAACAGATTCTCTCCTGTGAATGATAATAACAATCTGTGAAACAACTTGAAAGAGTCATTGGCTAAGAGGAACGAAAAGTGCGAAACATTTAATTGAAAAACAGTGCATGCAAAATTTTCGAGTATGCAAATGGTGGGTGAGTGCAATATCAAAAGTTATTTTTAGAAAAATAATTATTTTTAAAATTACGGCCACTTTAATTTTTAAATTTTAAATGAGCTTAATTTTGTGATTTCATTGCAGCGGAGGAGCAAAGTACAGAGGTGCGCTTTCGACCAAATGCAACAATACCTACCTGTTGGCATCATTAAAAATTTCTTTTTCTTCCTCTTCTTCATCTTTTTCATCGCCGTTCGCGTGACTTGATACGTTTTCAATATTTTTTATCCTACAAGAATTTACCATAAAAACAAAAATAAAATAAAAATAAAAGTAACAATTTTAAAATTATAAATGTTTAAAAATACAATCACAAATACTAATATTAAGAAGGTTTTTTTCTATGCACAAGCAATCAACACAAAGGACTTATCAATATAAACATATTTATTTACATTAAAAAAGGAAGGAGTCAAACTAGAAGATATGAAATTAAAATTAAATAAAAACAAATGCATTTTTACCAAATTACTTTATATTCAACCCGTCGATACATGTCTAAAGCGATTTATCTATTTCGAAGACAGGTAACTGAAATGTAATTCGCGGATTGCACAATTCATACTAAATGTGGGGCAATAGCCCTGCAGAAACTAAAGGCTTACAATTGAAGTATGTATGCGAGTACATAAGGCTAAATGGTTAAATCTCATATATTGGCCATAAATAATATTAACGATGGATTCGTTTTTTACTTGGTATATATTTATGTACATACACTATGTATATCGAGGGCTTATATTCAATACCACCTATCTCCAGTTTTCACAAAAGCTACTTTTTGAAGTTATAACCCATCTGAAACTTAACTGTCATCACTAATTGCAATTTAAACTTAGAAATTCATTAGTTAGTGCTACTAAAAACGATATACAAGGTTAGCATAAACATAATCGATGACAATTAAGTCTAAAGTGGATTTTAATGTAGGAATCTCACTTTTGTGAAAACGGCAGATAGGTTATATTCTATACAAGCATTCGATATACTACATTTGTATGAAGGAAGTTTGATGTTCTTATCAAACTTATGATTAGCACAGATAATGAATGAGCAGTTTACAGTACTGCCAAAGAAATCGGAATCACGCAAAATATTTTGGCCTAAAGAATACTTCAAATTAGTAAAGGGCTTACACTAATTACACTCTAGCGGTAGTGTGGAATAACGACTGACTACATTATTTGGGGGGTGGTTGTAGGTGTTCTGAGTGGTCAAAGTATTATAGCCGAACCACTTTTTGCCAAGTCTTAACGTATTATTTTTGTTGTTATTTAATTTTGGTTATTTTTTTCTTAAAAAAAAAACGTGTAAATCCAAGCAATATTAAGAAAATTCAACAAACTTTGGTACAAATTTCGAGCTTTTTTAAAAATTCTAAAAAATCAACCGTAATTTTTAGCCATTTGAAACTTGTACTTTATTCTATTAGAATTCAATGGGCTACAAAACTGCATACTCAGAATCGAATTAAAAACTCAAAATTTTTACGAAAATTCGTTGAAATTTTTTTTAATTGCATAAATTTTTAAGGCAGTGTTACTCGATTGGTACATTTGTACAGACTTGTGCATTTTTATATTGGGCTATTGGTACAAAATAAAAAAATTTGAACAATTTTTTTTTTTGTAGTCAAAAGCTTGGTACAATAGATACAGCAATCTGGTATTGAAAAATTTCAACAAATTATTTTTCGTGATTGGGAAAAGAAAAATATTTGGGTATTCACACATTGGGATACGATTTGCTTTCGGAAAATTTCCTATCGTGTGACACTGCGTTTTAACTTGTATTTATACGGATGTTGGTAAAGAATGAACTATAAAAAAATAACCAAAATTAAATAACAACAAAAATAATATTTTAATACTTGTCAAAATTTGTGCTGCTATAATTTTTTCGACTACTGTACATAAGTTGACTATGATTACTCGGCCGTGCTTTCATAGTAGCACACTGCCACTAATATTTGACCTACAAACAAAATACGGGCAGGAATTTCAAAATTGCATCCCTGTTTGTGTGAAATATTTTATTTTTATCAGTATTTTTCCTTTAATCAATCTATGTTGCAATAAAAGTGGCAATAAAAAAATATTTTGTAAAGCCTCCTCCAATGACAAAACGGTTTGAGCTTAAAAAATTTGCATAAAAATATATTCAACGGAATCGTAATAATGAGAACTTTGATGCGGTTTTTTAACTTTTTTCAAAGATATATAATAATAATAATAATAGATTGGCGCTTACACATATGTTAGTGTTTGGCCGAGCTTCTCCTCCGACTTGTGGCGAGCGCCTTGATACTGTCACACAAAGCGGAGGGACCGACAGTTTAAGCCGACTCCGAACGGCGATTGTATTTTTATGAGAAGCTGTTTTTCATGGCAGAAATACAATCGGAGGTTTGCCATTGCCTGCCGACCGACGACCGCAGTTAAGAAAAAACCTTTTTTCTATATTTTTTGCGATGTTGCTTTGACCAGGGTTTGAGCCCGGGTCCTGCGGAGTGGAAGCGCGCACTGCTTACCACTACACCACAGCGGCCGATTAGCACAAGAAAAACTTGAATAACTGAACCTAAACTATTCCGATCTAGACTTGTGAGGTGTCATTGGAACTCATTCAAAGGATGAAAGAGAAAAGTAGGATTAACGAAAGTAATTCAAAGTTGAATTAGGATGTGTTAGTATTTGAAAAAAAAAAATATTGGGACACGAATGACTTTTTTTTGGGACAAAATAAAAACAGTGGGAAAATATCTTTCTACTGAGATCCCATAAGTCTAAATGAGAATAGTTTTGGCCCAGTTTTTCAAGTTTTTCGTAAAGCAATCTCTGAAAAAAAGAAAAAAAAGCATCAAATCTCATTATTACGATTCTGTTGAAAAGATTTTTAAATATTTGTATGCAGATTTTTTAAGCTTAATGGGTTTTGTTATCTGAGGAGACTTTTTTCAAAAAGTTCTTTAAGAAACCATTTTTATTCAAATCGGTGCAGTTCACGTAATCTTAATATTTTTCAGAAATATTAATTAATTAATCCCGAAGGAAAACCCCTAACTGTTTTTGGTGATGCAGTCTAATGTAGATATGTATTTACCCTGCAGTGAAACCCCAAACTAGTCAGAAAAAATACTACTTTGAAACTAGAATTTTCTGACTGAAACCGAATTACATATCGAAAATTACCAGACTTGTACAAAACGATATATTCATGTCCGGTTTTATTTGACTTAGACAGTTTAATACAATAAAGTACACAAAATATATAACTTTTATTTGGGTATAAAGCGAGTACATATTCAGTTATACCAGACCTGTTAAATAATGATTAATAATCATAATGATTATTAATTAAAGCATGTTTTTTTGGATTACCGTTTAATAATTAAATACGAGTATTAGCACCTTTTTAATGATTAATGAATAATAGTTCATTAAAAATTGTTAATTAATTCATTAATTTTAATTACAAGATTACTTTGTTATTTTTGACCATTTTCAATTATTTCTGACTTTTTTTAATTACACGATTAATATACTAATTTGATTAATTCCAATTATCAATCAACAAGCCAAACTATAGACAAAAATTAAGAATATTTAATAACTGAATTTAAGTTAATTAAATGAAAACTTTTATTATACCTTTCATGAGCATAAAATGGTAATATAACTTTGGTCCGATGTTTGTAAGTACTAGAAGAAGAAGATATAGACCCATTAAAATGTAGACATAAATGATCAGAATGTCGAGCTGAGTCCGTCTGTCCATCTGTTTGTATGCAATCTTGTCTCTCAATTTTTGAGATATCCGGATGAAATTTGGTATGTGGGTGAGTGTATTTTTATAAAGTATTAATCATTTGTCGGAACCGGAAGAATCGGACGACTATAACATATAGCTCCCATACAACTGATTGTTCAGATATGAGATTTTTCATTATAACTTCTCCATTTATGCAGCTAGGAACATGAAACTTTGCAATACTTCCACCCGTTTTCCACTTATTAAAACTTAGAATGAAAATCACAAAGATCGGGTCGCTATAACCTATAGCCTTCATACAACTGATTGTTCCGATATGAGATTCTTTTTTATAACTTCTCTATATATGCATCTAGAAACATGAAATTTCGCATTATTTTCACTCATTATCAACAGAAAGTTAACAGAAAAATTAACAAAAATTAACAAAAGGGTATACCAGTTTACATACCGCGATCACACAGCAATGAAAATCACTTAAATTGTTGCTATATAAGGTATATCTTCCATACCTCTGATTGTTTAGATATGATTTTTTATATATTTACCTCCTCTATCTATGTATGCTGTGAATATATACATTTTTTCAAATGCAGTAATCTGTTAAAGTAAAATTTTCAAATCATTTCATTTTCATGAAAGGTATGAAGCCTTAGGCATTGCCGAACTGCTCTTACTTGTTTTTAATTAAGTTCACTCGAAAATGAACTAAAGTATTTATTTTATTTTTAACTAAACGGTTTTGTTTTGCATATTTAACATTAAAAAAGAAAAAAATATAGTATTTCTTGTACCTGAAAGTTTTTATTTTTAATGAGATTTAATGAAAACTGCATTTAAAGTTATGTTCGAAAATTTGAAATATTTATGTATTTATTTTTACTTTTAATTAATACTCACAAAATTTAACACTAATTATTGGCAAATCTAAGGATGCTTAATAAAAATGTGTAATATATTAAAGTGTACTTAATCAAACGTTCTTTATTGTATATTCATGAATTCATTTTACTTTTTGACTCCCAAGGTAGTGGGTTCGACTGATAATTGGACTAGTATTTTTCAGTCTATTTTCAACTAGTTGAGACTGGTATATTTCTGACCGAAATCTGACAATTACCATCTCGTAGGACATCCCCATGTTAAAAATACCAGTTGACTGCATGGAAAAAAGACTAGTTGGCCATGCGGTTCATACTAGTTGTGAGGTAGTTTACAACTGGTACACTTAACTACAGGGTATGTACATTAGACTGTCCAAGAATATAAAAAGGGGTCGAATAATTAGTGTATGTCCTGAAAATATGCAACTGTAGAACATTTTTTAATTGGTCAGACGGGCGTATGATGAACATTAAATTATTAAATTCAACTTTTTTAACAATTCCTGTCCTGCTTTAAATTATTAAATTCAACTTTTTTAACAATTCGTGTCCTGCTTTTTAAAAATTCCTTTCA